CGCGCCATGTTGGGAGTGGCCAGGCAGGTCCCGCAGTCCGGGGGTCCGGGTGAGGCTCTGTTACCATGACAACACTGCCCTCCTGCCCCCGGGGGCTCTGCATCACCCACTGGTTCTTCCAAGGCTCTGCTCGCTGATAGCTCCAGGAGATGGGCAGGGGGCAGAGAAGTTCCCTGCGGGTCACTCCTGCATCACTGAGGGTCCCCCCAGCCCATCCTTAGCCGTCCGTCCCCAGCCGGCTGCCTTCCAACTGCAAGCTCACGCCCTCCTCCCTCATTACCCACCCTGGACCTCAAAACCGCCATGCCCCAGACCTGCCCTAGGTTCCCACTGCTAAGACCCCTTCTCCGCTCAACCCCCAGAATTGCAGCCTCCAGGTCGACCCTATCATACACGCAAAAACAGGCCTGTTGCCTTCTCCTAGCCACCCATCCGCATGTCTGACAACCCGTTCATTTCCCCACCCATTCATCCACACACCCAACTGACCAAACGCATCTACCCACCCCGTCAACTAACCATCTCTCCAACATCCATCCATCCATCCATCCATCCATCCAAATACCCACTCAAACCAAACCACCCATCCACCTCCCATCTACTCATTCACCTATCATATAACTAATGTGATCCCATTAGCCAGCTAGCCACTCTCCCAAATCCACCCACCCATCCACCCATCTGAACATCCACTCAACGCACCCATCCATGTCTCATCTACCTGTCCATCCATCCACCACCCAAGTAAATACCTACTTACCCACATAACCCCACTCTTTCCTACACAGAACCTTCTACCCAGCTACCCAAATACCCATCCATCCATCAATTGCATGTTTACTTGTCTGTCTCCTCCACTAGAGTGTAAATTCCTTGAGGACAGGAGTCCTATGTGTCTAATTCATTACTGTTTCCCCACTGCCCAGCTCAAGAGTCTCAGGACACTTGAACAAATGTTCATACAATGTGGTACATACTCAAATTCAAATATTTATTTCCTAGTACGATACTGGCCTTTTCTAGGCAGACATGCCCATCCCAGCCAACCAACTACTTAACTACTCACCTACTAGTGCACAAACATCTAGCAAATGCTAACCTATTCATTTGCCTCTCATCCATCCTACCCCTCACCCATATTTCAAATGTTCACTCAGTTATCCAACCAACACCCACAGACCTCAACTATCTCCACATCTACCCACCCCTTCCTTCATCTGCTTCCCAGACCCATGCTCTCTCTGCCATGAGGGAGCTAGTATGGGATTAGGGGCCCTAGAAGATGCTGTCATCCGGGGCTTGGGTGTTGGTGGAGGTGGGATCTGGGCTTCATTGAGAAGTAGGTGTTGGGCCTAATAAATGATGAATACCTTTTTTTGAATACTTTAAACTACAGGTCTTTTTTTTTTTTTTTAAACTGTGTAAGGACCTTTAGATCCAATTTACAGATGAGGACAAGGAGGCTCTGAGAGAGTGAAGGTCTGAAGTCACACACTGGTGAGAAGCTCTTTACATCTCCCCCTTTGTGAGCCCTCCAATTAGGGGAGGATCGGGGAGAGCTGAATTGGGGAGGGTGCTTTCTGATTGGCAATACTTAGGGACAAAGAAACCATCAATTTTACAGAAATCAAGATTTTACTGGGCAACCTCACAGTGCCAGTCTGGTTACCATCTACAGCTCCACTCCACACTGTAGGCCATGTAGGGCTGAGGCAGGGCCCCTAAAACAGTATCTTTTTGCTCCCAGACCACGTGGGGTGGAGTGGGCAGCTCAGGTGGTGTCTCCGTTAACGCAGAGTTCTTTGAGAGGCAGGGGCTGGCTCCTGGACCCCGACGTCCTAGGAAGATGCTGCAGGCTCTGGACAGCATCCCTCAGCTGGGCTAGAGAACTCTCCATTTCAGCCAGGCGGCGTTCCTGGAGGGCAGCGGCAGTGGGCTCAGAGCCAGGGGAGAGTTGTACCCCAACCCTTGCTTCCTCGCCGCCCAGACCTGCCCCAGGGTTCAGACAGGGGCTCTCACCAGAGTTTTCAGCTTGTGGGCCTCACTGCTTGGAGGGTCGCGCTCTGGATCCAAATGCGAGGTCCTGTGGAATTCGGGGGTAAGTGGGGGGGAGCTCAGACGTTGGGGAACTCCCCTCCAGCCCCTGATTGGAGAGTTAGGGATCCTGGGCGGGGCTTAGAGTTGGAGGCGGGGTCTGCCCAGACCAGAGGGCGGGGCCTAGGTAAACTTGAAGAGGCCATCAGAGCCTGGAACGCCTAGGACGAAAGGACCAACGAAACTTTTGGAGGCGGGGCTAGGCCCGTCCTGGGCCGGGTGGTGACCGGGATAGGGGCGTGCCCAGACTGACAGCGCCTGGCCCAACCTGTTTGAGAGGGCCTGATTGAGGGGTGGGGCCTGATGAGACGACCAGCCAGCGACTTGGGGGGCGGGCAGAGCTGACCAAGAGGTGGGTCTTAGGTGTGTTGGGGCGGGGCTGGCCTAGGGGGCGTGACCGTGCCTGGCGAATTTGAGTGGGCCAGAATGACAGTGGGTTCTGGGCGATCTGATTACGTCTAACGGGTCCACATAGGGCGGAGCTGATGGAAAGGCAGGGCTCACCTTCCCCCGAGCCTGGAGTCCAGGTCTTGCAACTGGCCGCGAAGCTGCTGCTGCTGCTCCGTCAGGGCCCGGATGTGGGTGCCCAGCGACTCCACGAGGCCGGACAGCATCTTCTGTTCCTCGCGCAGGGTGGCCACCTCGCACTGCAGCTCTGCCAGCTGTAGGGGTGGGAGCCACTGCATCCTGACCCGCCGTTCCACCCCTTCTTCTCCCGGAAGACCCTGACCTTCCTGTTCCTTGTGCTCTGTCTCCTCGCTGCCCTGCCTCTTGGGGAACACCACTGGCTTGTACAGAGGAGGAAATCGAAGCGCAGAGAGGGTTGGACTAGGCCCGGGGTAACACAACGTAGGGCGCTCATAACAACCCAGACCTGCCTGGCCTCCAGTCTCGTCTCTCCCGTCCAGGCGTGGACCTAGGCCGGACCTCACCTTGCCCACGGGTCGGTGCGTGCTCAGCGCCTGGTCTGTGTCTCGCGGCTGGTCCAGCTGGCGCTGCCAGGGTACTGACGGCTTCCAG